CCAAAAATGTAAGAGTGTTGCAGTATCCTTATTAAAACTGTTAAATCAAGAAAATACTTATTTTTTTTCATTATATACTTTACAGCAATCTTGGGATCAGCATGCCCTTTGTCCGTATGAATTGCAGCTTAAAACCAGTCTGACATTTAATTTAAAAAAAAAATCATCCAGCTTTAAAAAAAAATGTTTTAAGTATGGTAGATAGTCCCTAAAAATCTAAGAGTCATGCAGGAACCTTATTTAAAATGTTGCATCAAGATTACACAATTTTTTTCTTTATACGTATAAATCTTTGTAACAAATTAAAAAAAAAATCTTTGTTTTCAAATTTAATTTCAAAATGACATAAATATGCATTTTTATTGCACTACAAAGCTGATAGTGCAGATCCATTCATCCCTTGGGAGTAATGAGTGGACATGCATTCAGTTAAAGATTACTTCATAAGTTCAATGTAGGAAGGCTAGCTGTCTCAATCATTTCTGTATGAGCAAATTAATAGAAAAAATTAATTTGGTATAGATTAAATTATTAAGAATAAATTGATATAGTTTAATAACATATTTTTATTTAATTTTTTGAAAACATCAACTAGCAAATTTCAGAGCCTCGTGTCTCAAATATGAAGGAGGGAGGGGGGGGGGGGCTGCAGATGGGCATACTCAATCAGTTGAGGATCTATAATGTAATACCTTTTATAATTAATGCCTACAGGAGATGTATAAACAAATATTATAAGGAATGGAAAAATCATAACAATTCCTTGTATCAAGGTTGACGTGATTTTCTTGCACTCTAAACTGTTTATGAATATTTGACGGGCGTATCATACTGTGGCTGGGCACTTTATTAAATTCATCTTATAAAAGTTTGTTTACACAAAACATGTGTCTCTGCAATACAAATTAGTTGTATAGAAAGCTGAGGGACTAAAAATCAATATGAAAATGAATGCAGAACACACAATAGACGGCGCAATATTTCAATTCCTTTTTAGACCAAGAAGAATGAGACACCTTATGGATAAATTAAACAGCTAGGTTACTGCACCACGTCACCAGTGTGCATACACTTCGTTTCTGGTTGCTAATATACCAATCATTACAGCTGTTAAGAGTCCGGGTAAGTTACAATATACGATATAATATAATAATACGATCTCGCATACGAAACTTTTATCAGTTTTGACAATTCTTAGCTAAAAAGATGGGCAAACAATGCGAGCAAAATGACTATTGTGCTGTCATGTTCTAAACTTTGAATTTGCCGGGTGGGAGTTAATACAAAATTGTTCCTAAATGCGAAAAAAAAGATGGGCGAACAAGGCAAGCGAAATGTCTATGGTGTGACAAATTAGAAAGTGAAAAATAAAATCTCAATTATGACAAAATTTTCTTGTAAATGCAATAAAATCTAGATAGTTATGAATGTCAAAAATATCAATTTTTGCTTCGTGATACTATTCGAATATTTCGGTTAACAAACAGGCATGTTGTATAGGGCAGGGGGGCTGCACCCCTTCCAACTTTTTTTTCCCAATCATAACTTATTCTGTTGAAAGTTGAAAATGTTCATTGAAAGGCTTTGCGGTAATTCAAAATCATATGGTAATGTGGTCATGTATTAATAAAATTGGTTGTGGAAAAGGTTTTAACCCCCCACCCCCACCCCTAAAAGAAATAAGATTTCAGAGGTTTTTTCAGGTAAGTTGTCAATCTTTTTCTGCCCTCCTTTCAAAAACAATACTTTGTGCCTGACAAAAACATGGAGCAAAGACTTATTCTATTTAAACATACACTTTCATAACACAAGGAAAAAAAACTGAGACTTTTTTAAAATCATAGAGGGATTTTTGGCGAGAGAATTTACCGCAGAAAGGTCTTGATTGTGATATTTTCATACCTTTGTATAATAAGAACTTTAAACTAAATTTTAAATTCACGATACACAAAATTTGCATATGACTTTTATACATTTGAAGCTATAGGCATTTCGTCCATCTCCTTCATCTCTTACTCTAGCCATTTAACTAACAGAGGTACACAAAATATTCTAGTGAGAAATCTGGATGGAGAAGATCTTAGAAAGTGTGTAATACGGTATAGCAGGACCAGTATCTGGATTTCATCTCTTTTATAATATATATAAAATATTTAGGGCTTAATGAATAAATCAAGGTATAGTTACTGAAGTGGAAAATATCTTAAAAGTGTTTAAAACACACAGTCTTACAGAGTATCATATTAGATTTGCATGTGGATAGCTTTTATGATTTTTTTTTTAAAAAGTTCTTCGTGTAATATTGACCAGTAAATCAAATGTATTGCCTTGTACATGTACAAGTTTTGCTGTTTTTGAGGTCAATACGGTCATTTAGCCACCTGAGCAGTACAATATTCACCGAGACCGAAGGGTGAGGTGAATATTGTACTACAGGGATGGGTAAATCATCGTATTGACTGAAAACAGTAGTAATTGTTTTTTTCAATATTATTTAATGATAAAATGATACAAACTCGTTAAGCAAATATGATATTTTTCTTGATTATCTATATTTCTAAAAGTCCTAGCCAAACGTAGTTAGAAAAGCATGGTTAAAATAGTTTTGGGGGGGGGGGGAGGGGGGGGTAGGGTTTGGGGTTGCAGGAAGGAAAAATGGCACCTAACTTGGGGAAAATCTTAGACAAGCCAATTCCCTAAACTCCAAAATCTTATTTTGAGGGGATAGAGGTGGTGACGGGTGGGGTGGGTAGTTAAGATCCATGAACATAGGAGGGATTTGACTAAACTGGATAAAAAAGATGTGGGGGACCAGCTTTTCAATGAACATTTTCAATATAGTAAAAATTTATATTTTTATAAAAAAAAAAATAGTGGGCGCGGGAGAACAGCCCCCCCCCCCCAATAACTACGGGCCTAAATATTATGTTCACCTGCATGGTGGAAGTCGGGTGCAGGTGAAATATTTTGTGTAAAAAAAATAAATAAATCCCTATATTGACCTGCAATGTAAGAATTTATTTTTCTCAGCCAATCTGAAAGCTTAGAATTATTCGATCAAATAATAAATTACTTTGTTATTCTTTAATAATAAATAAAATACTGAACTTTTTCTTTACTTCAGAGCCAAAACTTCTAATAATGGACCCACACATCCGGGCCCAGGAGTTGATACAATGTGACCTGTGTAAGACTGAATCAGTAGAGGTTCACTGCAATACATGTTACGTAGCACTATGCAATGCCTGTATTGGAAAACACATGGCATCTGATGAATCCAAGAAAAAACACGAAATTATAAAATTCAAATTTCGAAAGTAATTTCCACTTTACCCAAAATGTTCCTTTCAATCAAAGAACAATGTGAAATGTACTGTAATCAATGTGATATTCCTATCTGTATCACTTGTATTGCAACTGAAGAACATTCAGGTCATAAAATATTGAAAATTTTGCAAATTTTGGATGAAAGAAAAGAAAAAATCATCAAAGAACAAAAGGAATTAGCTGACACAATACTTCCAACCTATCTGGACATTGAATCTGATGTGGAGAAGTCTATAGAGCAGTTAGAAAAGGAATATGGAGATCTCTCATCATCCCTAAGAAACCAAGAGAAGGAATGGCACAGAAAAGTTGAACAAACTTTTGAAAAACATCAAGTTGAACTTAAAGAGCTGAAAACCAAACAGATATTAACTCTACCTGGCATCATCTGGATGAAATACAAGAGAAAGTTTCTGAAATAAGCAATGAAATCAAGTTAACAGATGTTGATATAGATTCTAATGACATTTCACAACTGTTAAGTATCACACTTAATGTAGATAAATATAGAAAACTTCCACCAAAAGCTGTGCCATCGTTACCAAAATTCACTTCAGGGACAGTCCAAGGGGAAGAAGTATTCATGATGTTTGGAACCCTGTCATCAGGTGAATTTACTTTAACTGAACATGGTTACAGTATCATGGCAACACAGATATCACCAGAAGCTGGATCATCTCCTTCAGATGAAGGGTTGTTGGATGATCCAGAGATCATTTCTACCATAAATACTGATTATGGATCATACCTAAATGCTGTGGCATGCCTGGATGATGACCAATTCTGGACAAGAGGAAATGATAACACCATGAAACTATTTAGTATCAGTCAGGGCTCACTACTCAAGTCAATCACAACCAAGTCAGGGTGTATCCCAGAGGACATAGCAGTTACAAAACATGGTCACCTTGTTTATACTGATCCCAGAGACAGAACTGTTAACATTGTGAAGAATAGAAAGATAAAGACTGTATTGAGTGTGCTCAGTCTAAAGGACTGGGTACCAGGCCATGTTTGTACCACCCACTCTGGTGGCCTCCTGGTACTCCTCAACAGTAATGATAACAAACAAACAAAGATTGTCCGCTACTTTGGCTTCTCAGAAAAACAAACCATTCAGTTTGATGATGAGGGTAAACCTCTCTACTCATATGGTTATGCTAAATACATCTGTGAGAATAAGAATCTGAATATCTGTGTGGCTGATAATAATGCTAAAGCAGTAATAGTCGTCAATCTGGCCGGGAAACTGAGATTTAGGTACAATGGGCATAAATCTGCTCTAGGGAGTAATGCTTTCAAACAAGTGGGAATCACTACAGATAGTAAAAGTCACATCCTGACAGCTGATTCACATCATTGATCAGAATGGACAGTTCCTCCATTTCTTAGACTGTGGACTGCATGAACCCTGGGTACTGTGTACTGATACAAATGAGCATCTGCTTGTTGCCGAATTTGCAAGCAAACATGTAAAGAAAATCAAATATCAGCAATGAAATATATAAACCGCCAAAAAAAAAACTAATACAATTATTGATCAGCTCAAATACAAAGGAAATGTGTAACCCTGGAAAATATATATGTTTTGCAAACAGATTAAGAAATGAAGTGTTGGATTTATAAATGCTTTATTCATTTATACTTAATATAATACTTTATATATTGCTCATATGAAATCTTCTATTCTGTACTATATGTATAATATATTTAATATATAGATGTATGTCTCTTGGTTTTAATAAAATCTGAAATCTGAATCACTGAAGATAGAAAGATGGATGGTTTTTATATTAATTGCCCTTCAGTCATTTAACACGATAGATACTTCAACATTTACCTAATACTTTAATTTTCCTCGATTTTGTTGAAGTGTCAAGGTCTTTTTTTTCATGTTTAGCGCATCGCCTGTAATAATTTTTGTCAGAATTCATATTGTTTATGAAATTTGGTCGCCAGTTGAATGATCGGGGTTTCTTAAAATTTGGCCCTTTTAAAAACACTATAGGAAGGTCGATACTCATTGTTAACTATATTCACATCGTAATGACGTGTCCACTAGGACTATAGGTGTACAGGTTGGGAGATTTAAGTTCAAAAACCTTTAAGGAACAGACAGATGTGATGCAGACCTACTAAGGAAGAAGTGATTCAAAAGAGATATCACGAAAAAAATAGGCTTATTGTAAGACCGATGTCCATGACTTAGTACGTCTCTGCGTTTTGTTAAAACGTCCCATCACATTCATATTGTTACACTGTGAACTTGAAATTTAAGATTTCTCACATTGTCTATATTGTCAATGCAACCATATGGAAATATGGAAAAGCAGGCCTAGTTTCCTACTCCAGTACTCTATTCGTTGTCTATGGAAAGGTGGACAGGCAAACAATGAAAAACAACATTGTGAAAATATTGAATAAATTTAGAAAATTTTTAAAAATTTCGTAAACTTTTGCAAATTTTTACCATTTTTTTTTTTTGAAACACTGGACTTATATTTTTTTAAAAAATGATATAAATCATCTACTCGTAACGTAGGGGAAAAAAATCTGCATTCTTTAGAATTCTTTAGATCTTCTCTATCCTTGGACCCTTTGAAATATAAGACTCTTAGGACCACAGTTCAGACTCTTGCTCCTGTATTGGAATTGTGCATTATTCCGTGTGCACGATAAATGACTCATATGTGTATTTTGTGTCATGGTTAGAAAAATTATGTAAACTATTTCTCTCAATCTCTATCTTTCGCCTTCACTTAATGGCCTTCTTTGTCCCACCGTGTGTAATACAGTCATCCCAATCTGGCCAGAATTCTGCCTTCATCCTCTCACAGTAATTACAGAGATTTTCGAACTCTGAAATTAAAGATAAAAAGTATAATTCACAAAAAACATAATAATAAAAAATAAGAAAAATAAAATAAAATGAAATTATTAAACTATTGATTTAAAATATACATGCATATCAAAGCAGCCTTCATGTGGAATTTTCTTTCCTTACTTTTGAACTCCTGTTCTATAAATGGTCCATATCCATGCCAGTAACACTGGGATAGAATTCCGAATGCAGCACAGTCCGCCTGACAAGCCTTCTCTCCGAGCAAAAACTTTTTCTTTCCTAAATTAAAACGTGTATAATACCAAATAAAGCACCTTATTCAAGCAAATTTGACAATTTTGAAATTATTTATTAACACGTAAATAAAACACAATGATTTAATTTCACATACCTAAGAAAGAAGAGAAGTTCTGAAGACATTCAATAATGAGTGTCCGGACCTCCTCCTGAGAATGGCGACCTATTCCTTGCGCATGCGTTTGTTTTATTGCGCGACGTTTCCCAATTATTCTGAATATCCAAGGAATTTTGACATATTTAAAAAATTCTCCTCCTTCGTCGTGCACAAAACGTTGTAGAAATAGTGCCCTGGGTTAAAAATGAAAACTTTATTGAATGATATATTTGTTTGTTTGTTTGTTTGTTTATTGTTTACCGTCCCCCTCGAGAATTTTTCACTCATATGGAGACGCCATATCTTGCCTTTGGGGAGCTGCAGATTTTGACCTATACTCAGCACTCAGAGCCATTGATCAGCGAGGGATCTTTTTCGTGCCAGCACCTACTGCGGTACTGCGACACGGGACCTCGGTCTCATCCAAAGGACCGGTCTCTACGTCCCACAGTGGGATTCGACTCTAGAGCAAACGCTCTAACCACTGCCCCCCGCGGGCCTCTGTTGAATAATATAGATTCTTCCAAAGTCACTAACGTATTAGTCACATTATAATTTTCCTCTGGAATATAATTATAGTCAATTCATATATCAGAATTATATCCATTGAACACAATTTTCTTCTGTATCAAAAATTCTAAATGTATACTTCATATTTCTTTGTTACGTTAAAAGAGAATAATCAAGTATCAATCACATTTACTGTGCAAAAACAAATACATCCTAATAGGAAAAATTATTGCACTTACTCGAATAATCAAAGTGAATTTCAAAATTTAATATACATGTATATGTACATGTTATTATAGTTCGTCTTTTCCCCTAACCCCCCTTAATTCCCCACTTCTTGGACGCGTTCCAAAGCCTTGGAAAATGGATAAGATGTAACTATATTTGAAACAATACTGAAAACAAGTTGCTGAAATCTTAGATTACTAAAATAAAAAAAATTAAGCAAGGTTAGAACTGAGAGATGACATAGATTCTCGTCTCTACAATTACCAGAAGAAATACTCCTCAGCCACTTTTTGAAAAGAATAAGCTATGGACTTTTCTTCGTCTGTGAATTCTTTGTCCAGATCTATGTTGAGTGTTTTATTAATGAACTTGATACAAAACTCTGAATCTGCCACCTTCTCTCCATTGTATTCAATCCACGTCAACTTTCCTTTGGAACTTCTGTTGACAGCACTGTCGAATTCATTCTGGTTTGAATTCAATATTGAACATTTTATTTAACAGAAAAATTTACATTTAATGATTCAATTAATTGACAACAGTTTTTCCTAATTCTGACCTTACAAAAAATTAGCTTCATCTTATATTTATACTCAACATCAAACCTGATATGGAATTTTTGCCATCCTCAAATAGGTCTCCAGTTTTACAGCAAACGGAGTTAGACTAGGGGCAAATGGGCCTCTTGGTACCGTGTGGTGAATTACGGCGTCCCTTGGATAAGATTCCCTAATAAAAACACACAAAGATACAGTTTTAATATGCTGTTGATACGACTTAAACTCCATTCGAATCCTTTAATATATTTTGTCCATGTACATATAAAATATTGATAAAGATTTGAGTCTCATACAGGCATAGAGAGCGAAATAAAAAAAAGATAATACCTGAGGTAAACTCAACTAATGCAAGGCAAATGCTAGGCTATCAGTATGGCATGTCAAACATTGAATATTTAAACTTTTACCATTTGTATTGTATTGTAAAAATTCTTATTAGCATTATATATTTTTTATTTGTATTCTATACTTTTCATTTGTATTTTATAATTTTCCTTTCGTAGTCTATATTTTCTATTTGTATTGTAAAACTTTTCATTTGTATTGTATATTTTTCATTTGTATTTTATAAATTCTCATTTGTATTTTACTATTTTTCACTTGTATTTTATATTTTTTGTTTGTCTTGTAAAATATTTTATTTGTATTGTTACAGTAGGCAATAATTTTTCATTTTTATTGTGTCCTTGGATTGTTTGTTTCCTTATATATTAAGGATTTAATTTGTCAAATTTTAGCCCGTATCGTGTTGAAAACAGGCGAGATGTTTTTGGTGCTTAAAGCAAATTGAGCCCCTATTTGCATGTAAGGGGACGACCACTTGATTCTGAAAAGAGGTGGGGGTGGCTGGCAGATTTTGGAAATAATCTGTCCTCAGAAATGTTGAAAAAAAATAAAGAACTAATCCGTCCTCAATGTGGAAGAGAATAGTAATCTGACATTGACTGGTGGCACCTAACCCTTAATCCCCAACAAAATTGAGTTTTCGGGTGTTGGGGTTTTGGCAGATTTCTTTTCTTTTTTCCTTCGTTAATTGTGCTTGTAATTTTTTCCAGGAAAGAAAATAAATTACCTGTCCCTGGTCATCTTGGAAATAAATATTCTGTCCTGATAGGGGATGAAAATAAATAATCTGACTGGACAAAATATTCCACCCCACCCCCCTTTTGGAATCAAATGGTCGTCCCCTAACATGCACGCAGTTTGTGTAGAGTACCAGAAACATTTTGTTCATTTTCAACACAATACAGACTAAAAATTGACTAATGAAATCCTTTGTAACGAAACAATAAGCATTCCCTCGGATACAATACAAATGAAAATTTATCGCATACAAATAAAAATTATTATAAAATACATTAAAAAATACAATATGAATTTAAAAAAAAATATATATAATGCAAATAGGAAATATGGAATAAAAATAAAACATAAAATCATAAAAAAAGAAAGGAAAGCAGAATTACAATACAAACAGAAAATATGAAATAAAAAAAAAAAAAACATAATACAAATGAAATTTTACTTTACATACGTAAAATTATACAATACAAATGGAGAAAAAATAGAATACAAATGAAAAATATATATATAAAAAAAAAACTAATGGGAAAATATAGAATACAAATTTTAGAAAATACAAATAATAAAAAAAAAAAAATAAATTACAAGTTGAAAAAAATAAAATATTGCAACCTTACGTGGCATTCTATCACCTTGAAATAAATAGCTATATTATCGTTAAAAATTTGTATAAGCATCTTGTATCTATACTCAAGAGCATGCTCTACAATGTATGTATGTATGTACAATTTCTAAAACGAGGTAAATTACTGACAAACAAGTTGATGAAAAGAATTTCAGCAGTTTCGTATAAAGTCATCATTTCGTAAGTTCTATGGTCGATACAATGACCTTGTCAGAAAATACAATTTATCATTGAGTCAAATGCTGACTGACGTCTTTCATACTAATTGTTAGGCCGTTAATTACACACTGAATTGTCGACGGATGTTTCCGTTATTTCCCGATCATGACAAGGAGCACACGGTGGATGTGACCGGTCGGCAGGAGATGCTCACTCCTCCATGGCACCTGATCCCACCTCTGATGTTTTGGAGGTATGCGTTTGCTCTGCTCCTATTTTGTATTGTTAAATGGACTTTTCAGCTTGAATACTGTTCGTTATCTCCATATATTTCACATAAAAAGATTGAATTGTCAACTACGACTCAGACACAGAATATATAATTTATTATCAAAAGAGAATTTATTAATTTCTTTTGGCCCCTAACGTTGTCGCCTTCGCTCTCCCGTGTTGTCACCCAAGCAGGTTTGGTCTAATCATGCAGTACAACAACACAAACGTACATGTATATTATTATGCACATTCACTGATCAACAAATCTCACCCTCCTTATTTTTCTAACTTTTGCATTTACTAGGTGAGAGCATATATGTATAAAATTTAGAACATTATATTTACTTACTTTCAATAAATTCAAAATTTAGAACATGACATTATTTCAAGTTGCCCATCAACATAATACTAGTAATGCATTCACTTTTCCCACCCATTAAGATTAAATATAGGTTGTAAATTAAAAAAAAAACTCTTAACAAACAAAGTAATTTTTTACATTAAGGAATAATGCAGTAAAAACTTTGACCCCCTTGGCTTTCTATACATTGGTCTATGTAGTTTATATATAACCTACTTAATTTTCTTCTTGCACCTCCTATACACAGCTATGACAGTAATTCCGATAACAGTAGCCACACATATCTCCTTAAGATGAACAACCATGAATGCCTTTACGTCTTCCATTGCACTGCTTATTTTATTTGATGATCATGTACAATCTTTTTTTACACTGTTAAAAATTCAAGGTCAGAATAGTAAATAATCCGGTTCGAGTTGCATGGCTTTATGGACCAGGCAAAATTTATCACAATGATGGGACCGGTACAAACAGGCATGGGACAATGATCGAAGAAAGCCATGGGACAAAAACATTTTTAGCATTAAGTGCCCATGGGAGAAACACATTTTTAAATGAGTTACAGTACTTAACTCAAGAGACACATTTATAATTTTTAGACATATTTTATCTTTTCTAAAAAATAAATTCTTTAGAAAAGTCATTATATCTTTTAAAGTCAACAAAGTGCAACATAAATCTCCAAATTAATACCACATGCAAAAATTAACAAACAAACGACGTAAATAAGAGTTATGAATATTAACAATGAAATAAATTCAATAAATCATTCAAAATATACCGCCAACAAATTCTAGAGTAACACCTCTAAAACAACCAGAATCAATCATGTATTTTAAAAATAAATGGTCTCTTAAGTTTCATCCACTCAGAAAACTTTCATAAAACGATTATAGACATTTATGCCTGCTGTTCAATCCAATTCATTTACAATGAATAAAATATATTTTAAACTAAAATTTTCATAAATGTTTGAAATATCTGTAATCTGAAAGACTCCTTCTGTTAATATTATAAAAGTAATTGGTAACATTGTACTTTTATTTATTTTTTTTTTTCAATAATCTCACGAACATCAAGATGTAACCATGGGACAATAACTTTTTTGTAAGTCTAATGGCATGGGACAAATATTTTTTCAATACGAAAGCCATGGGACGTGTATTTTTTTAATGAGAATTTTTTTGTACCGGTCCCACTCTTGTGATAAATTTTGCCTGGTTCCTTTTTTTTTAATGACGGCTAATCAATATAAACTTTCTCGGACGTTTATGTCTAAAAAGCTATAAAACTTGTGACTATTTTTCTAAATATCTTTTTGTATTTCTTCAATGTTTTATTTCATTTAGACTAGAATTTTTTTCATTTTTTCCGAAAATATATTTAGAAGATGTGTCAAACTATGGCTAGGACTTTGATTAAGTATAGACAAAAATTACGGCGAGGGGTCTAGGGGCCACCTAAGGCCGACCCAGCTGGTCAAGGGCAGCGCCCTGGTAAGGCCGTGTTCAGGGTGCAAAGCTCCCCGACGGAAAATGGATTTCACAATTTTGAGACCCCTGGGCGACAAATTCTGAACATATATAAAAGTAAAAATAACAAAGCAGTAAATAACGAATGGTTCGACCAAGATCTAAAATAGAGAAGAAAAGTATTAAGTGAAAAAGTATATATAACTCCTTTCAAGATTTCCCAAAAAACCTACCCACAAGCAGGCAGCACAATTAAGGCTGCAATAAGGAGGCGGGGCCTAATTTTTACTGCTTCCTATGACATCACACAAAAATACATGTTCTTCAAAATACCACAAAATGAAATGAAACTGTTGGATAGCTATAAACTACATCAATACTTACTTATCCATGTATTTTTGTCGTTGGTTAAATCCCACACAGCAATATATAAACAATTCACTGATCGCAATGCACTTGTCAATGTGACGTCATATAATAAAATTTGACGCAGGTTGTATGTAGTGAGAGGCGGATCAAGTTATATTTTATACTGTGAAAAATGTGTTTTGGAATTAAATAAAATATTGTTTGCAGATATATAAGAGGATATTAACTTTGATGCGATGTCTATTTTATGATTTTATTCATATACTTCCCATACATTCCCTAGACAAGTGATACGGCCGTATATATGTCTGCAGATTCATTGAAGGGTAATAGAAGGGTCGTAATAAATCGATATATTGCAAGGGCATACCCTCAATGAATTACCACAAGCTTTTACACATAAACTCAAGAGGTATGCAGATATTTGAAAAGTGCTGCGAAGCTGATGAAATCTTGCAAATGAATTAATTATATCTACATTTAATGTACTTGACCAGCAAAATATTCAACATCCGGTCTAACAAATGTTAAAGAACTGAAAACCAAACAGATATTAACTCTACAGAAACATCTGGATGAAATACAAGAGAAAGTTTCTGAAATAAGCAATGAAATTAAGTCAACAGATATTGATATAGACTCTAATGACATTTCAGAACTGTTAAGTATCACACTTAATGTTGATAAATAAAGAAAACTTGTACCATCTTTACCAAAATTCACTTCAGGAACAGTCCAAGGGAAAGGAATATTTAAGCTGTTTGGAACCCTGTAATCAGGTGTTTTTACTTTAACTGAACATGGTTACAGTATCATGGTAAAACAGATATCACCAGAAGCTGGATCCTCTCCTTCAGATGAAGGGTTATTTGATGATCCAGAAATCATTTCTACCATAAATACTGATTATGGATCATACCTGAATGCTGTGGCCTGTCTAAATGATGAAGAAATCTGGACAGAAGGAAATGAGAGAACCATGAATATATTCAGAATCAGTCAGGGCTCACTACTCAAATCAATCACAACCAAGTCAGGGTGTATCCCAGAGGACATAGCAGTTACAAAACATACTGATTCCGGAGGGAGAACAGTTATCATTGTGAGGAATAAAAAGATAAAGACTGTGCTGAGTGTGTTCAGTCTTAAGGACTGGGTACCTGGCCATATCTGTACCACCCACTATGGTGAACTTCTGGTAGTCAGTAATGATAACAAAGAAAGAAAGATTGTCCGCTACTCAGGCTTCGCAGAAAAACAAACCATTAAGTTTGACGATGAGAGTAAACCTCTCTTTTCATATGGTTATACTAAATACATCAGTGAGAATAAGATCCTGGATATCTGTGTGGCTGACAATAATGCAAAAGCAGTTGTAGTGGTCAATCAGGCCAGGAAACTGAGGTTTAGGTACAATGGGCATAAATCTGCTCTAGGGAGTAATGCTTTCAAACCAGTGGGAATCACCACAGACAGTAAAAGTCACATCCTAACAACTGATTCCGTCAAAAACTGTGTCCACATCATTGATCAGAATGGACAATTCCTCTGTTTCTTAAACTGTGGACTGCATAAACCCTGTACTGATACAAATGATCACCTGCTTGTTGTCGAATGTGCAAGCAAACATGTAAAGAAAATCAAATATCAGCAATGAAATACATACCCCCCCCCCAAAAAAAAAAAAAAATAATACAATTATTGATCAGCTCAAATACAAAGGAAATGTGTTACCTTGGATAATATATATGTTTTGCAAAACAGATTAAGAAATGAGCTATTGGGTTCATAAATGCTTTATTTATTTATACTAAATATTATACTTTATATCTTGCTCATATGAAATCTTCTATTCTGCACTATATGTATAATATATTTATATCTATCAGATGTATGTCTCTTGGTTTTAATAAAATCTGAAATCTGAATAACTGAAGACAGAAGGGTAGATGGTTTTTATATTAATTGCCCTTCAGTCATTTAACACGATAGATACTTCAACATGTACCTACTACCTTAATTTTCATCGATTTTGATGAAGTGTCTAAGTCTTCATTTTCATATTTGGCGCATCGCCTGCAGTAATTTTTGTCAGAATTCATATTGTTTATGAAATTTGGTCGCCAGTTGAATGATCGGGGTTTCTTAAAATTTGGCCCTTTTAAAATACTATAGGAAGGTCGATCCTTATGTGCCAAAAAAAAAAAAAAACGACGGCATCCTAACAACTAGACATGTCTTAAACTTATTAGAACCCGACACTCTTAATGAAGCATTTGGTCAATTGCTTATATGTCATATCTAATTAAGAGTGTTTTGGCGGTATCAATGGCACATGTCATTTAATATTTGTAATAAGGTCCACCTCGTCAGGAGTTCAACTTACGCATAAATCAATCAATCCTTTGGAACTTCATTTGATTTTAATTGGATCTAATGATCAGATCACCTATATTCTTGTGTTTACTGTATACAACAGTAGGAGCTGTTGCGAATAAGTCTTTGCAAATGTCATCATCTTGTATGTAATCCCAATATTTCATAAGTCGTTTCTTTAACCCTTTTATAATTGGGTTAAACCTGGTGACTAAAACGTTGGGTACAGCCTTTTTGTTATTTTTCTTCTTTGGCTTTATGAAAAAATCCATTCTATTTGCAGAAAGTGTTTCTCGCATGATAAGTCCAATTTCTGATTGTTTATAACCTCTTTTTTCTAGATGAGTTTTGACATCTTTAAAAAATATTTTGTAGTACTGCTTGATCACTAGTATTTCTCAGATATCTGGTACATTCTCCTTTGATTAGGCCCTTGAAAACTGATGGGCTATGAGCACTTTGCCTGTGCAGGTATTGGAAGCTGTTAGTATGTTTGATATATGAGCGAATGTCTAAACGCTGGCTATCTGAGAATCTTGTTCCTTTGTTAATGGCAGTGTCTAAATAATTGACACTGATGTGAGATATTTCATAAGTAAATTTCAAATATTTATGACAAGAGTTCCCTATGTCAAAGAATTCTTTAATTTCATACGGGCTTCCATTAAGTACAATAAAGCCATCATCTCTAAATCTGCCGTGATAAATAAGTTTGTCGGCATGTTGAAATTTAAATATTACATCATCAGTGATGTCTTTCATAGGTATATCTGTAATTTCTGGTGACGGGCGTGCTCCCATCGCCGCGCCAATAATTTGTTTGCAATATCGTCCGTTGAAATCGAAAAAAAAAATTTGAAGTTACATCTGAGAAAGAAGATAACACCAGAACTGCAAGGTCGAGCTGATTCTAGATTAGAATTCTCTGCTATGTATGCTTTCTCGATAGAATGTCGTAATTCATCAAATTCCATATTGGTGTACATGCTGGTCACATCATAAATAACCATGATGGCATTATCAGGTACAATCAGAGATTCGATTTTTTGTATAAAATCCGACGTGTCTTTGATGTATGAATTTTCTTTCTGAAGAATGAGCACAAGGAAATGATCACAGAAGTAACCTATATTTACCGTTGGTGTGCCGCATTGAGAGATAATTGGCCGACCAGGTGAAATTTTTCGGAGGCTGCCTTTTAAAAGTGCATCAAGCACTTGTTAATCTATTTGATGTATTTTAGGGAGCAAATACAGACTCCCACTTTTCAAATTGACATTTTTGTTTGTGCTTAAAAACCGATATGTTTCCTTGTCTAAAGGTTTTGTTTTGATACATCTCAAAAACTTTAGACTGGATGCTCTGAAGTAGAGCTTCTAAATCAGGTTTTTCTATCGACATAATGGGTAGAATCGAGTTGTCTCATACCTTCTGAGATATATTGATCTCTGTCCATTACAAAAACTGTGTTGCTTTTGTCTGTCTTTTTAATTACAATCCCAAGATTACTTTTCAATGAAACAAATGCTTCCCTCTCATATCTTCAAAACGTTTAATTGGCATTGATGTTAATTTGAATTTGGTCTTATCAATATACTTTTCTAATGCATCACATGTGTGCTCTGGTATGTAACCTGAGCGTTTTCTAAAAGGATGCATTAAGTTGTCATCTGAATTGCTGAACAAATATTTGCACCTTAATTTTCGTACAAATTCGTCAAAATCTCTAAGTACAATGTTTTTAGCATTATAAGACTTAGGACTTGGTATCTATTTTGGTCCTTTACTTAGAAAAGAATGTTCAGCACGCGTCAAACAATGTTTTGACAAGTTTAAAACTTGCAACTCGGTTTTCTTAAAATTCTTCAGCTGCAAGTTACGAGCAGAGATAGATCGTACTCGTAAAAGAGACTTTTTGGATTTTTTTTCTCTTTTAAAACGTCTACCCATTTTGCTTGTCAAATGGATAGATCGTGTAAGAGGAAGAAAAAATAAACATCAATGCCAGTCTGTATGTAGCGCATGTGCAAACTTGGACACGCCTACAATGTTTCAAACCAATATGATTGGAGCAAATACACAATTTTAATCATGTTGAAAAACAGTGTAAACAGGCTAATATGATAGAACAATGACATAAATAAGTTCAATTAAGAGTCCATAAAAACAAAACAAAAATCGTATTTTTCCTTAATGAGATGAATTGCATAATTGCGACAGGTTCCAACTTCTTTCAGTACCAAATTTTATATATACACTATTAGTGAATATATAGAGTTAAGTCTATTGCTAACTTTTAAACTTCTTTTTTCTCTTAAGAAAAAAATGAAAATGTTTATAGCTCAGTAATTTGACGATCATCAAGTCAATTTAAAATGGTCGCCAATTTGGCGACTAATAGGAAAATTTTAGGCGCCAATCATAATTTTTAGGCGCCATGGCTAAATTTGTCGCCAATTAAACCCCTGCTGCAATGAAAAGTGGGGGGGGGGGGGTCAGGCCTTTCACGAACATTTTCAATAGTAAAATGCTATGTTTGGAAAAAAACTGTTTAACCCCTCCCCCCCCCCCCCCCCCGATGCTACGTGCCTGGAGCTATACTTGGTTTGATAACTTTAATTATTTAATTGAGGCTTATAATTTCGCTGCCTCATTCCACGAAATGTTCCTTGTCCCCTAGGGCGCCTGTAAGTTGTAGGCTCGCGACTGGGTGTGTCTTGAGTTGAAGATGATTATCTGGTGTGTAAATTATCCCGGAAAAGTTCCAAGGCCTTTAACTATATTCACATCATCGTAATGTCGTGTCCAGTAGGACTATAGCTGTAGAGGTTGGGACATATAAGTTCAAAAAACTTTAAGGAATAGACAGATGTCTTGACTTAGACTTAATTTGGAGGTTTAAAGATGCCTATGATTGGAATCATCCACAATCACGAAAACCAGCCTTTATTCTGGTGCATGTTGAAGAATCTAAGTACAGACTTTCTGTAGCCTTTTCAAATAGACCATATAAAGCTTTCAAAGTTTGGTACATATATGATGCAGACCTACTAAGGAAGAAGTGATTCAAAAGATACATCAAAAAAAAAATCTGAAGGATTATTGTAAGACCGATGTCCATGACTTAGTACGTCTCTGCGTTTTGTTAAAACGTCCCATCACATTCATGTTGTTACACTGTGGATTGAAATTTAAGATTTCTAACACTGTCTATATTGTCATTGCAACCATATGGAAATATGGAATAGCAGGTCTAGTTTCCTATATTCCAGTATTCTATTCGTTGTCTATGGAAAGATGGACAGGCAAACAATGAAAAACAACATTGGGAAAATATTGAATAAATTTAGAAAACTTTTAAAAATTTCGTAAACTTTCACATTTTTACCAATTTTTTGAAACACTGGACATATATTTTTAAAAAAAAATGATATAAATCATCTACTTGTAACGTAAGGGAAAAAATCTGCATTCTTTAAAATTCTTCAGATCTTCCCTATCTACTTTAAATATGAAATTTAGGACACTTAGGACTATAGTTTAGATTCTTGCTCCTTTGTTGGAACTGTGCATTATTCCGTGTGCACGATGAATGACTCACATGTAAATTTTGTGTCATGGTTAGAAAAATTATGTAAACAAATTTCTCTCATTCTCTATCTTTCGCCTTCATTTAGTGGGCTTCGTTGTCCCACCGTGTGTAATACAGTCATCCCAATCTGGCCAGAATTCTGCCTTCATCCTCTCACAGTAATTACAGAGATTTTCAAACTCTGAAATTAAAGATAAAAAGTATAAATTACAAAAAAATAATAAAGATAATAACGAAAAATAAAATAAAATAAAATTATTAAAACTATTTATTTAAAATATACTAATACATGTATATCAAAGTAGCCTTAATATGGAATTTTCTTCCCTTACTTTTGAATTCCTCTTCTACAAATGGTTCAAATCCATGCCAGTAACCCTGGGATAGAATTCCGAAAACAGCACAGTCCGCCTGACAAGCCTTCTCTCCGAGCAAAAACTTTTTCTTTCCTAAATTAAAACGTGTATAATACCAAATAAAGCACCTTATTCAAGGAAATTTGACAATTTTGAAACTATTTATTAACACGTAAATAAAACACACGCAGTACAGTTAAGGCTACACATGAAGATAATATGGTAATGAGGTCATAATGAGGTTTGACGTCATGACAGTTGCTCCGCCTTGATAGATCCATATAAGGAAATAGAGCTCAAAAAAGCTATTTAATGAGGATTGCGAGAATTTGTAATGAATGTCTGTATTTTCAGGTTTAAATAAATAAACATTAGTGATTTTCTCTTATATAGTAACAACACGTCTTCGAAATAATTCTCTTTTTATTGTGTCGTTTGGCTGCATTCGGCTTCAGCCAAGCGCTTGCACTCGGTGACATGGAATGTTGTTTACATCTAAAAACCTGGCGACAGCAGCTGAGATATGCAGTGGATAAATGCAACAATCGGGCAATCTTTAAAGAAAATAGGGATAAAATAAGAGATCTGGGCCTTGTTTATCTTTTTGATGAGAAGATGATGACGTTATTTCGGAAAATCATGGAAAACTGAGACGATCCGCACTACCTCACTTGGTCCCTTTCTGTTCATTATGGTGTGTATGTGCATAGGTATTAACATGTAGACATACTATTCTTTACATCGATGTAAAATAACCGTGAACATGTACAATAAGATGTATTATTACAGTCCGTCACAAACTGCAATGCAGTGCTTTGTGTGTATGCCCCCTCCCCCCCCCCCCCCCAAAAAAAAAAAAAACACACACATTATGAAAGTTGCACACTTTTAAACATGCAATGATGTTGTCCTCTGGCATACATGTACAAACATGTAACATAATATAAGCACAGCACGTCATGATATCAAATAGTATAATTTAGATGCAGTCACACTTACAATGTACATGTATTTGTGATGTCAAACTGCACAGTGTACAATGCATGTGCACTGTACATTCAAGAGTATTAGACCCTATAAATTTTAATTTATACCTCTGGCAATCAAAAATATGTGAATTTTATGATTTCAGTTCTTACCAGTGCTTCATATTTTAAATTCATCGTAGAACTTTATCTGTATCACTAGGCTCTAAATTTGTAGAATTTCTACATTAATGAAGATAAAATGTTTGAATTTTCATTTGTCTGACTACATGTACATTAAGTCAGTCTTATATGTATAAACATGTATTTATGTACTGTTTATATGTATAATTCTTTTCTCATTGTAGCTGTCACAGAACTGGTAAAACTGGCATTTACATCAGCTAGAACTATCCAAATAGATGCATCATTTTCTCCACTGGGTATGATCACACTAAAGCATTTCACATTAATTTTATAGTATGCCAGTGTTAAATATTTTTTTAAATGTTGTATAGGTGAAAGAATTAAATGTTATCTCTAGTATATTGATTTTTATTTTTTTTTACGTAAATTAAGTATAGCTACCAATTCTACTTTTGCAAATGTCATAGGTTTCAATTTCCCAAAAAAAGTTTTGTTTCCATTTATTTTATAAATTTCAGAAAATATAGTATAGCATGGTTTGTTTTGTACAATGCAATGTCATTTCATTCTACAATAGTTATCATTAAGTTATTCACTCATTACATATATATTGTGTTGTAGCTACTCCCAAACAATTTGAACAATTCATTCAGGCAGCAAATGTTTCCACCAATAAAATAAAAAGGTATGCTCCATATAAGCTATAAACCATACATATTCCTAGCAAGATTATTGAAATGTTTTGATAATAAAAACAGTAGAGTCATGTATATGCTTTCCATGTTACTCAAAGCCCATGCATTGTTTTGAGTATCACTTTCTTAAAACCCCAATGAACTTTCCATAATGGTATTTCATTTTGTTTTTAGAATTGATTTCATCCAGAAGAACTGTTTGAACTGTGGACTGTTTGAAATATTTTGCACCTGCTCAGAAATCCCTTCACAGCCTGCCTTTGAATTTGAAAAGCTGTTTTTAATTAAATAAAATTTCTAGATAAATAATACTTTGTTTTTTTAATAGTACAATGGTTTGAAAATTTGAAGGCTGTTAAGATTTGAATATCTTTACTTGAATATATTCTGACAGGCGCGTAGCTGCCTATACGCAAATACGCAGATGTGCACACATCGTTTTCAAATTTTTAAAAAAATGGAATGGGGGTGGGGGTGGGGGGGGGGAGTGAAGGAAGAGATTTGTGAGAAGAGAAAAAAATATCAATACCATCCAGCAAATATTTGTGTTTCAAATTATTTTATCTCATACTGTTTCAATTCAAATTCAAATTTTATATAACCATGTCTTTATAAAAAAAAAAACTGTAATGTTTTATTAAATCATTGCCACAACCAAATAAAATATTTATTAATTTGTAATTCTTCTACAACACATTGATAATTTTTTTTTAAAGATCTTTGAGAAAGTATCAACCGTTGAATACTGTGATCCACTAGAATATGATTTGAAATATAACATTTTTGTTAATAATTGAAAATAATTATATTTGTTGCTGAAAGTTAAAAAAGAGTAGATGATACCAATATATCATTTTAAAAAATATTCAGCCTCTACATGTACAATAAATTTGAACGGAAGTATTTAACTTTGTGTTAAAAGAAATATTAAGTACTATGTCTTGTATTTTCTAAAGAAACCCATGAGCTTCCAGGGATTTCGCCCATGGATCCTCATCAGGGCTTCGCCCTGGACCAACTGGGGTTCTCAAAGCGGACCCCAGCCATTCTCTGCGTATGTTTCACTTCCATTCTGGCTACGCGGCTGTCTGTGTTTTTGGGTACCAACATGATCTAAATTTCAGCGTGTATATAAATTGTGTTCACCTGTTCATTAACAGAGTATATGTTTCTTGATTACAAAGTTTTACTATGATTATCTTGTTTGCGCATGGATTGATAATAACTCAAAAAAAAAAAGAGACTAAAGCCCCCCCCCCCCTCCCCCAATGTGATTTGTGCTACAATACCCAAATAAGTAAAACCTGATGTAAACACTGTTTAATAATTTATTTTTTACATGCAAGTAAGGTATATGGTATCAAAGGAACCAGAGGCAAACTGGTGATGGGAGGGGGGGGTTAGATCTGTAGAAAGGAAAACATGTAATTAAATACAGGAGTAAGCTCCCCAATCCCTTCCTCCTGTTCTTAAAACTTTTAACGTAGTCTAGAATTTCTAAACAGCTGAAGGTTTGAAAACTAAAATAATCACATATGTAACCCCCCCCCCCCCAAAAAAAAAAAAAAAACATAAAAAAAACAACTAAGTTCTGTTGGAGATATTTTTTCTGTGTGCCTGCTGGAGGAGAATAAATATTTTCTCACTGATAGTGGCTGTCTATTTTTTATTACAAGTGATTGAATCTTTCAATATTTTTAACTATGGGCATTGATAGATGTTGCAGCAAATTTTATGCCTATTGTTCACGAACAGAGGAAATGCGGTAGGTGTCAAATACGTCTTGTGTAGCGTATAAAAGAACGAAGATATACAAAACAAAGTAAAGTCAAGGATTTTTTTTATGCATACCGATTTGATTTAATGAAATAAAGCCCAGCACAGTCAGTAGGTATTATTTGTTCAAAATGTGCGAGGTCTATTAAGTACCACAGAGTTATCTCCCATGCTGGGTCAGTGATGCGTTTGAAAACTATATTTAGAATGAATGTGTTAAGATTTCAATTTTTAATCAAAAAGTGCAAGGGCAAGGCGACAACCCAAGAGGTAGGTTTTTATTTTAAATTCTTTACTTTACTGTATAGTTTTTAAAAAGTGATGCTCATTTCTTTGTAATTCATTAGGCAATTTAAAATTTCCGATTAAATGATGAAAAATACCCTATTTTTGAATACTGGTGTTTGTTTTCAATGAATAACTTAAATATCTCAAAAATCTGACTGAATGAGCATCAGTTTTACGATAGGGTAGATACTAAGGGACACAATGAAACATTGTGCAGTTCAAATATTGTTTGCCTTGCCCTTGCACTTTTTGGTTAAATTTGACATTTCATATTTTGACCTAAAATCGGAGTTCACGTGACTGTAGAGGGTCACATGATGACAAAAAATACCGATGTTAAAAGCGATGGACAAACTCTTCATAAAACCATTAAGATATTTCAGATAGAGTTTCATGCTAAAAAATCAGACGGTTGAACTTAAAGTGTCTCGTTTTTGTTGCCTTTTTATAGAAAATGTTGCCTTAACTGTACTGCGCAATGATTTAATTTCACATACCTAAGAAAGAAGAGAAGTGCTGAAGACATTCAATAATGAGTGTCCGGACCTCCTCTTGAGAATGGCGACCTATTCCTTGCGCATGGGCTTGTTCTATTGCGCGACGTTTCCCAATTATTCTGATTATCCAAGGAACCTTGACATATTTAAAAAATTCTTCTCCTTCGTCGTGCACATAACGTTGTACAAATAGTACCCTGGGTTAAAAATGAAAACTTTATTGAATGATATATTTGTTTCTTGTTTACCGTCCCTCTCGAGAATTTTTCACTCATATGGAGACGCCATATCTTGCCGGTGGAGAGCTGCAAATTTTGACCTATACTCAGCACTCAGGGCCATTGATCAGTGAAGGATCTTTTTCGTGCCAGCACCTACTGCGATACTGCGACATGGGACCTCGGTTTATACGGTCTCATCTAAAGGACCGGTCTCTACGTCCCACAGTGGGATTCGAACTCGCGACGTAAGGATCTGCGACTCCAGAGCAAACGCTCTAACCACTGACCCAAACGGGCTACTATTAAATAATACAGATTCTTCCAATATCACTAACGTATTAGTCACATAAAAATTTTCCTCTGGAATATAATTATAGTCAACACATATACCAGAATTATATCCATTAAACACAGTTTTCTTCCGTAACAAAAATTCTAAATGTATACTCTATATTTCTTTGTTACGTTAAAAGAGAATAGTCAAGTATCAATCACATTCACTGTACAAAAATAAATACATTACAATAGGAAAAATTATTGCACTTTCTCGAATAATCAAAGTGAGTTTCAAAATTTAATATACATGTATATGTATGTATTATTATAGTTCGTCATTTCCACAAACCCCAACCCCCTCCCCTCTCAATTCCCCACTTCTTTGGCACGCTCCAAAGCCTTGGAAAATGGATAAGATGTAAATATATTTGAAACAATACTGAAAACAAGTTGTTGAAATCTTAGATTACTAAAATTAAAAAAAAATTAAGCAAGATTAGACCTGATAGATGACATAAATTCTCGTCTCTACAATTACCAGAAGAAATACTCCTCAGCCACTTTTTGAAAAGAATAAGCTATGGCCTTTTCTTCATCTGTGAGTTCTTTGTCCAGATCTATGTTGAGTGTTTTATTAATGAACTTGATACAAAATTCTGAATCTGCCACCTTCTCTCCATTGTATTCAATCCAGGTCAACTTTCCCTTGGAACTTTTGTTGAAAGCACTGTCGAATTCATTCTGGTTTAAATTCAATATTAAACATTTTATTTAACATAAAAATATGTATTTAATGATTCAATTGATTGACAACAGTTTTTATCACGACTACATAGACACATTCACGTTTTTGCTTCAGATAAACATAATCATATATCATTAGTCTTGATTCTGACCTTACAAAAAATTAACTTCAACTTATTTTCATACTCAGCATCAAACCTGATATGGAATTTTTGCCATCCTCAAATAGGTCTCCAGTTTTACAGCAAACGGAGTTAGACTAGGGGCAAATGGACCTCTTGGAATTGTGTGGTGAATTACTGTGTCTTTTGGATAAGTTTTCCTAATAACGCCAAAAAAAAAAAAAAAAAAAAAAAAAAAAAAAATTAATTAATAGTTTCTCAGGCACCGCCGCCTCAGGTCAATCACTGCCGCATTGATCAATTTTATTGACATATTGAAAAAGGAAATATCTCAATTTTCTATTTCTCAAGTTGAAAAAGAAAATTGAGCTATTCCCCTTTTCATAGTGCTAATAGATAGAACGTTTATATTAATTCTTGTTAATACAGTATTTTTATTTTATGAATTAACTTTGTTTGGAATAATATTAGTTAAAGTTGAATACATATTATAATTAATGAGAGAACAAAAAGTAAGAATCAGTTGATATCAGTATTTTGTTGAACGACTGAAAAAGTAAAAAGTAACACCTCCCCCCCCCCCCCCCCACACACACACACACAAAGAATCTGCCTGCCGCATTAAATTTTGAGATTTTTGGCCCGAGAAACTATTAATTAATTTTTATGACCTAAAAACACACAAAGAAACATTCTTAATATGCTGTTGATACGATTTTCACTCCATTCGAGTCCTTTCATATATATTGTTCATGTACATATAAAATATTGATAAAGATTCGTGTCTCATGCATGCATAGAGCGCGAAATAAAAAAAGAGATAATACCCGAGGTAAACTTAACTAATGCAAGGCTATCAGTATGGCATGTCAAACATTGAATATTTAAACTTTTTATCATTTGTATTGAAAAAATTATTATTTGCATTGTATATTTCTTATTTGTATTCTATACTTTTCATTTGTATTTTATAATTTTCCATTAGAAGTCTAAATTTTTCATTTGCATTGTAAAAATTTTCATATGTATTGTATATTTTCATTTGTATTTTATAATTTTTCATTTGTATTTTACAATTTTACATTTGTATTCTATATTTTTTATTTGTCTTGTAAAATATTTTATTTGTATTGTTACAGTAGGCAATAATTTTTCATTTGTATTGTGTCCTTGGATTGTTTGTTTTCTTATGAAGGATTTCATTTGTCAAATTTTAGCCTGTATCGTGTTGAAAACAGGCGAGATGTTTTGGGTGCTTATAGCAAATTGAGCCCCTATTTGCATGTAAGGGGACGACCATTTGATTCTGAAACGGGGTGGGGGTGGCTGGCAGATTTTGGAAATAATCTGTCCTCAGAAATATTGAAAATAAATGAAGAACTAATCCGTCCTCCACGTGGAAGAGAATAATAATCTGACTTTAACTGGTGGCACCTATCCCTTCCTCCCCCACGAAATTGAGTTTTCGGGTTTTGGCAGATTTCTTTTCTTTTTTTCCTCTTTAATAGTGCCTGTAATTTTTTCCAGGGAAGGAAATAAATTACCGGTATCTGGTCATCTTGGAAATAAATATTCTGTTCTGATAGGGGATGAAAATAAATAATCTGACTGGACAAAATATCCCAGTCCTCCCTCCACCCACTTTTCGAATCAAATAATTGTCCCCTAACATGCACGCAAATAGCACAGTTTGTGTTGAGCACTAGGGACATCTCGTTCATTTTCAACACAATGCAGACTAAAACTTGATTAATGTAATTCTTTGTAACGAAACAATAAGCATTCCCTCGGATGCAATACAAATGAAAAATTAATGCATACAAATAAAAAGTATCATAAATTACATTTGAAAAAATACAATATAAATTTAAAAAATTACAATGCAAATAGAAAATATAGAATAAAAATAAAAACAAAATCAAATAAAAAAATAATAAAAGGAAAATTACAAAACAAATAGAAAATATGGAATATAAATAAAAAATATACAATACAAATGAAATTTTACTATACAAATGTAAAAATATACAATACTAATGGAGAACAAATAGAATACAAATGAAAAATATAAAATACTAATGGGAAAATATAGATTACAAATTAAAAAATACAATTAAAAAAATACATTACAATGTGAAAAAAATTAAATATTGCAACCTTACGTGCCATTCTATCACCTTGATATAAAGAGCTATATTATCGATAAAAATCTGTATAAAAAATTTGAGACACAGAATGCATCATTTATTCCCAAAAGAGAAATTTATTCATTAAATTTTTTTTTGCCCCCTAACGTTGTCGCCTCTGCTCTCCCGTGCTGTCGCCCAAGCAGGTTTGGTCTTATCATGCAGTACAACAACACAAACGTACATGTATATTATTATTATGCACATTTACTGATCAAAAATCGTACCCTCCTTATTGTTCTAAATTCTGCGCTTACGGATGAAGGTATGTATGTATAAAATCTAGAACCTTTCAGTAAATTCAAAATTCAGAACATGACATTATTTCAAGTTGCCCATCAACATATTACTAGTAATGCATTTACTTTTCACACTCATTAAGTAGTTAAGGTTAAATATAGGTTGCAAATTTAAAAAAAAATAATTACTCTTTACAAACAAAGTTATATTTTACATTAAAGAATGCAGTAGAAACTTTGACCCCCTTGGCTTTCGATACATTGGTCTATGTACTTTATATATTTAAACCTACTTAATTTTCTTCTTGCACCTCCTATACACAGCTATGACAGTAATTCCGATAACAGTAGCCACACATATCTTCTTAAGATGAATAACCACGAATGCCTTCACGTCTTTCATTACACTGCTTATTTTACTTGATGATCATGTACAACCTTTTTTTTTTACACTGATAAAAGTTCAAGGTCAGAATAGTAAATCCGGTTTGATGTGCATGGCTTTAGGGACCAGGTAAAATTTATCACAATGATTGAACCAGTACAAACAGACATGGGGCAATGATTTTTTTTTTTATCGAAGAAAGCCATGGGACAAAAACATCTTTAGGATTGAGTGCCCATGGGAGAAACACATTTTTAAATGAGTTACAGTACTTAACTCAAGAGACACATTTATAATTTTTAAACATATTTTATCTTTTTCTAAAAAATAAATTCTTTAGAAAAGTCATTATATCTTTTAAAGTCAACAAAGTGCAACATAAATCTCCAAATTAATACCACGTGCAAAAATTAACAAACAAACGACGTAAATAAGAGTTATGAATATTAACAAACAAATAAATTCAATAAATCATTCAAAATATACCGCCAACAAATTCTAGAGTAACACTTCTAAAACAACCAGAATCAATCATGTCTTTTAAAAATGAATGGTCTCTTAAGTTTCATCCACTCAGAAAACGATTATAGACATTTATGCCTGCTGTTCAATCCAATTCATTTACAATGAATAAAATATATTTTAAACTAAAATTTTCATAAATGTTTGAAATATCTGTAATCTGAAAGACTCCTTCTGTTAACATTATAAAAGTAATTGGTAACATTGTACTTTTATTTATTTATTTTTTCAATAATCTCACGAACATCAAGATGTAACCATGGGACAGTAACTTTTTTGTAAGTCTAATGGCATGGGACAAATATTTTTTTTCAATACGAAAGCCATGGGAAGTGTATTTTCTTTTAATGAGAATATTTTTGTACCGGTCTCCCACCCTTGTGATAAATTTTGCCTGGTCCCTTTTTTTTTTACTGACGCTTAATCAATATAAACTTTCTCGGACATTTATGTCTAAAAAGCTATAAAACTTTTTCTAAGTATCTTTTTGTATTTCTTCCATGCTTTATTTCATTTAGACTAGAATTTTTTTCATTTTTTCCGAAAATATATTTAGAAGATTTGTCAAACTATGACTAGGACTTTGATTAAGTATAGACAAAAATTACGGCGAGGGGTCGAGGGGCCACCTAAGGCCGACCTAGCTGGTCAAGGGCAGCGCCCTGGTAGGGCCGGGTTCAGGGTGCGAAGCTCCCCGACGGAAAATGGATTTCAAAATTTGAGAGCCCTGGGCGACAAAATCTGAACATATATAAAAGTAAAAATAACAAAGCAGTAAATAACGAATGGTTCGACCAAGATCTAAAATAGAGAAGAAAAGTATTAAGTGAAAAAGTATATATAACTCCTTTCAAGATTTCCCAAAAAACCCACCCACAAGCAGGCAGCACAGTTAAGGCTGCAATAAGGAGGCGGGGCCTAATTTTTACTGCTTCCTATGACATCACACAAAAATACATGTTCTTCAAAATACCACAAAATAAAATGATACGCTATTCTAAACTGTTGGATAGCTTTAGACTACATCAATACTTACTATTGCATGTATTTTTGTCGTTGGTTAAATCCCACACAGCAATATATAAACAATTCACTAATCGCAATGCACTTGTCAATGTGACGTCATATCGTAAAATTTGACGCAGGTTGCATGTAGTGAGAGGCGGATCAAGTTATATTTTATACTATGACAAATGTGTTTTGTAATTAAATAAAATATTATTTGCAGATATATAAGAGGCCATTAACTTGGATGCGATGTCTATTTTATGATTTTATTCATATACTTCCCGTACATTCCCTAGACAAGTGATACTGCCGTATATATGTATGCAGATTCATTGAAGGGTAATAGAAGGGTCGTAATAAATCGATATATTGCAAGGGCATACCCTCAATGAATTACGACAAGCTTTTACACATAATCTCAAGAGGTATGAAGATATTTGAAAAGTGCTGCTAACCTGATGAAATCTTGCAAATGAATTAATTATATCTTTGAGAAGAAAACACTTGCTGTGGCCCTCAACTCGACATTTAGATATATCGACGATGTATTGTCAATTAACAATGGCTATTTTCATTCTTATGTCGATACGATATATCCTGGTGAGCTTGAGATAAAAGATACCACAGAGTCTGACACATCTGTTTCATATTTGGATATTTTACTTGAAAAAGACGTTAATGGTAATCTAACAAACAAGTTTTATGATAAACGTGATGACTTTAACTTTTCAATCGTCAACTTCCCTTACTTATGCAGCAATATACCTTCATCACCTGCATACGGGGTATATATCTCTCAGTTGATTCGATACGCAAGAGCATGCTCTACGTACGAAAAATTTCTAAAACGAGGTAAATTATTGACAAACAAAATGATGAAACAAGAATATCAGCTGTCTCGTTTAAAGTCATCATTTCGTAAGTTCTATGGTCGATACAATGACCTTGTCAGCAAATACAATTTATCATTGAGTCAAATGCTGACTGACGTTTTTCATACTAATTGTTAGGCCATTATTTACACACTGAATTGTCGACGGATTTTTCCGTTATTTCCCGATCATGACAAGGAGCACACGGCGGGTGTGACCGGTCGGCAGGGGATGCTCACTCCTCCATGGCACCTGATCCCACCTCTGATGTTTAGAGGTCCGTGTTTGCTCTGCTCCTATTTTGTATTGTTTAATGGACTTTTGAGCTTGAATACTGTTCGTTATCTCCATATATTTCATCTACATTTAATGTACTTGACCAGCAAAATATTCAACATACAGTCTCACAAATAATAAAGAACTGAAAACCAAACAGATATTAACTCTACAGAAACATCTGGATGAAATACAAGAGAAAGTTTCTGAAATAAGCAATGAAATTAAGTCAACAGCTATTGATATAGATTCTAATGACATTTCACAACTGTTAAGTATCACACTTAATGTTGATAAATATAGAAAACTTGTGCCATCTTTACCAAAATTCACTACAGGAACAGACCAAGGGGAAGGAATATTTAAGCTGTTTGGAACCCTGTAATCAGGTGTTTTTACTTTAACTGAACATGGTTACAGTATCATGGTAAAACAGATATCACCAGAAGCTGGATCCTCTCCTTCAGATGAAGGGTTATTTGATGATCCAGAAATCATTTCTACCATAATTACTGATTATGGATCATACCTAAATGCTGTGGCCTGTCTAAATGATAAAGAAATCTAGACAAAAGGAAATGAGAGAACCATGAAAGTATTCAGTATCAGTCAGGGCTCACTACTCAAGTCAATCACGACCAAGTCAGGGTGTATCCCAGAAGACATAGCAGTTACAAAACATGGTCATCTTGTTTATACTGATCCCAGAGACAGAACTGTTAACATTGTGAAGAATAGAAAGATAAAGACTGGGTACCTGCGCAGCACAGTTAAGGCTGCAGTAAGGAGGCGGGGCCTAATTTATACGGGAAATGCTTACTATGACATCACACAAAAATATAAGTTCTTCAAATTACCACAAAATGAAATGATTTGCTATTATAAATTTATGAATAGCTTTAAACTACATCAATTCTAACTAGTGCATGCATTATTGTCGTTGGTTAAATCCCACACAGCAATATATAAACAATTCACTGATCCAATGCACTTGTCAATGTGACGTCATATTGTAAAATTTGACGCAGTTTGTATGCAGTGAGAGGCGGATCAAGTTATATTTATACAATGAAAAATGTATTCTATAATTAAAAAAATATAAATTGTAGATATATAAGAAGCCATTAACTTGGATGCGATGTCTGTTTTATGATTTTATTCATATACTTCCCGTACATTCCCTAGACAAGCGATACTGCCGTATATTTGTATGCAGATTCATTGAAGGGTAATAGAAGGGTCGTAATAAATCGATATATTGCAAGGGCATACCCTCAATGAATTATGACAAGCTTTTACACATTAACTCAAGAAGTACGAAGATATTTGAAAAGTGCTGCGAACCTGTTGAAATCTTGCAAATGAATTAATTATATCTATATTTAATGTGCTTGACCAGCAAAATATTCAACTTACGGTCTAATAAATGTAACTTTAGCAATTAGATAGTAGAATCTATATAGGTTCGCAGCACTTTTCACAAACTACAAAGAATGCTGAAAATAATTATATGTTAAACTTAGATTTTTAACTTGGTTATGCCTTTGCAATATTAGAATTTATAGATGACCTCAATACTTCAGGTATATTTGCTAAAATCACATGACTGCCAGATCACGTGACAAGTTTTAATAAGAAATCTAATCGTCCTCAACATTTAGTTTTCAACCACATTGCATTTGTCCGATAATAGTAAAGTCCTCAGAAGAAATGCCCATCCTTGTAAAGAATGTATTTTCTATCTAAAAAATTCGCCGATATTTCCATTTGACACCTTAACTGTGCTGCGTGGCCATGTCTATACCACCCACTCTGGTGAACTCCTGGTAGTCAGTAATGATAACAACGAAAGAAAGATTGTCCGCTACTCTGGCTTCATAGAAAAACAAACCATTCAGTTTGATGATGAGGGTAAACCTCTCTTCTCATATGGTTATACTAAATACATCAGTGAGAATAAGAACCTGGATATCTGTGTGGCTGATAATAATGCAGAAGCAGTAGTAGTCGTCAATCTGGCCGGGAAACTGAGATTTAGGTACAATGGGCATAAATCTGCTCTAGGGAGTAAAAGTCACATCCTGACAGCGGATTCCGTCAATAACTGTGTCCACATCATTGATCAGAATGGACATTCCTAAATTTCTTAGACTGTGGACTTCATGAACCCTGGGGACTGTGTACTGATACAAAAGATCATCTGCTTGTTGCCGAATATGCAAGCAAACATGTAAAGAAAATCAAATATCAGCAATGAAATACATAAACCGCCAAAAAAATAATACAATTATTGATCAGCTCAAATACAAAGGAAATGCGTAACCTTGGAAAATATATATATTTTGCAAAACAGATGAAGAAATGAGCTATTGGGTTTATAAATGCTTTATTTATTTATACTTAATATTATACTTCATATCTTGCTCATATGAAATGTTCTATTCTGCACTATATGTATAATACATTTATACCTTTGAGATGTATGTCTCTTGGTTTCAATGAAATCTGAATCACTGAAGACAGAAGGGTAGATGTTTTTTTTATATTAATTGCCCTTCAGTCATTTAACACGATAGATACTTCAACATCTACCTAATACTTTAATTTTCATCGATTTTGATGAAGTGTCTAGGTCTTCTTTTTCATATTTGGCGCATCGCCTGCAGTAATTTTTGTCAGAATTCATATTGTTTATAAAATTTGGTCGCCAGTTGAATGATCGGGGTTTCTAAAAATTTGGCCCTTTTAAAATACTATAGGAAGGTCGATCCTCATGTGCAAAAAAAAAAAAAAAAACTCGACGGCATCCTAACAATTAGACATGTCTTAAACTTATTAGAACCCGACACTCTTAATGAAGCATTTGGTCAATTGCTTGTATGTCATATCTAATTAAGTGTGTTTCGGCGGTATCAAAAGCAAATGTCATTTAATATTTGTAATAAGGTCCACCTCGTCAGGAGTTCAACTTATCCATAAATCAATCAATTCTTTGGAACTTCATTTGATTTTAATTGGATCTAATGATCAGATCACCTATATTTTCTTGTGTTTACTGTACGCAACAGTAGGAGCTGTTGTGAATAAGTCTTTCCAAACGTCATCATCTTGTATGTAATCCCAATATTTCATAAGTCGTTTCTTAAACCCTTTTATACATGGGTTAAACCTGGTGACCAAAACATTGGGTACATGGGTACAGTCCTTTTGTTATTTTTCTTCTTTGGTTTTTTGAAATGGTCCATTCTATTTTCAGAAAGTGTTTCTTGCATAATAAGTCCTATTTCTGATTGTTTATAACCTCTTTTTTCAAGATGAGTTTTGATATCTTTAAAAAATATTTTGTAGTATTTTTCAGATGTCTGGTACATTCTCCTTTAATTAGGCCCTTGAAAACTGATGGGCTATGAGCACTTTGCCTGTGCAGGTATTGGAAGCTGTTAGTATGTTTGATATATTAGCGAATGTCTAAACGCTGGCTATCTGAGAATCTTGTTCCTTTGTTAATGGCATCGTCTAAATAATTGGCACTGGTGTGAGATATTTCATAAGTTAATTTCAAATATTTATGACAAGAGTTCCCTATGTCAAAGAATTCTTTAATTTCATACGGGCTTCCATTAAATACAATAAAGCCGTCATCTCTAAATCTGCCGTGATAAATAAGTTTGTCGGCATGTTGAAATTTAAATATTACATCATCAGTGATGTCTTTCATAGGTATATCTGTAATTTCTGGTGACGGGCATGCTCCCATCGCCGCGCCTATAATTTGTTTGTAGTATCGTCCGTTGAACTCGAAAAAAATATTTTCAAGTATACATCTGAGAAAGAAAATAAGATCAGAGCTGCAAGGTCGAGGTATTTCTAGTTCAGAATTCTCTGCTATGTATGCTATCTCCATAAAATGTCGTAATTCATCAAATTCCATATTGGTGTACATGCTGGTCACATCATAAATAACCATGATGGCATTATCAGGTACAATCAGAGATTCGATTTTTTGTATAAAATCCGACTTGTCTTTGATGTATGAATTTTCTTTCTGAAGAATGGGCACAAGGAAATGATCACAGAAGTAACCTATATTTACCGTTGGTGTGCCGCATTGAAAGATAATTGGCCGACCAGGTGAAATTTTTCGGAGGCTGCCTTTTAAAAGTGCATCAAGCACTTGTTTATCTATTTGATGTATTTTAGGGAGCAAATACAGACTCCCACTTTTCAAATTGACATTTTTGTTTGTGCTTAAAAACCGATAGGTTTCCTTGTCTAAAGGTTTTGTTTTGATACATCTCATAAACTTTAGACTGGATGCTCTGATGTAGAGCTTCTAAATCAGGTTTTTCTATCGACATAATGGGTAGAATCGAGTTGTCTCATACCTTCTGAGATATATTGATCTCTGTCCATTACAAAAACTGTGTTGCTTTTGTCTGCCTTTTTAAATACAGTCCCAAGATTACTTTTCAATGAAACAAATGCTTCCCTCTCATATCTTCAAAACGTTTAATTGGCATTGATGTTAATTCGAATTTGGTCTTATCAATATACTTTTCTAATGCATCACATGTGTGTTCTGGTATGTAACCTGAGCGTTTTCTAAAAGGATGCATTAAGTTGTCATCTGAATTGCTAAACAAATATTTGCATCTTAATTTTCGTGCAAATTCGTCAAAATCTCTAAGTACAATGTTTTTAGCATTATAAGACTTAGGACTTGGTATCTATTTTGGTCCTTTACTTAGAAAAGAATGTTCAGCACGCGTCAAACAATGTTTTGACAAGTTTAAAACTTGCAACTCGGTTTTCTTAAAATTCGTCAGCTGCAAGTTACGAGCAGAGATAGATCGTACTCGTAAAAGAGCCTTTTTGGATTTCTTTTCTCTTTTAAAACGTCTACCCATTTTGCTTGTCAAATGGATAGAGCGTGTAAGAGGAAGAAAAAATAAACATCAATGCCAGTCTGTATGTAGCGCATGTGCAAACTTGGACAACCCTACAATGTTTCAAACCAGTATGATTGGAGCAAATACACAGATTTAATCATGTTGAAAAACAGTGTAAACAGGCTAATATGATAGAACAATGACATTAAATAAGTTCAATTAAGAGTCCATAAAAACAATACAAAAATCGTATTTTTCCTTAATGAGATGAATTGCATAATGCGACAGGTTCCAACTTCTTTCAGTACCAAATTTTATATATACACTACTAAACTACCCTTTTTTGACTATACTGCGCAGGCCTTTATGTGACCTTTAAAATCTAGGCGCCAACTGGCTTCTAATCAAAAATTATTAGTCGCCAATGCAAATTTTTAGTCTCCAGGTAAATTTTCCCTGAAGCTTTAATTTAAAAACTGATATTAGTGAATATATAGAGTTAAGTCTATTGCTAACTTTTAAACTTCTTTTTTCTCATAATAAAAAATTGAAAATATTTATAGCTCAGTAATTTGACGATCATCAAGTCAATTTAAAATGGTCGCCAATTTGGCGACTAATAGAAAAATTTTAGGCGCCAAACATAATTTTTAGGCGCCATGGCGACTAAATAAGTCGCCAATTAGACCCCTGCTGCAATGAAAAGTGAGGGGGGGGGGGTGGTCAGGCCTTTCACGAACATTTTCAATAGTAAAATGCTATGTTTGGAAAAAAAACTGTCCCCCCCCCCCCCGATGCTACGTGCCTGGAGCTATACTTGGTTTGATAACTTTAATTATTTAAATAAGGCTTATAATTTCGGTGCCTCATTCCACGAAATGTTCCTTGTCCCCTAGGGCGCCTGTAAGTTGTAGGCTCGTGACTGGGTGTGTCTCGAGTTGAAGATGATTATCCGGTGTGTAAATTATCCCGGAAAAGTTCCAAGGCCTTTAACTATATTCACATCATCGTAATGACGTGTCCAGTAGGACTATAGCTGTAGAGGATGGGACATATAAGTTCAAAAAACTTTAAGGAACAGACAGATGTCTTGACTTAGACTTAATTTGGAGGCTTAAAGATGCCTATGATTGGAATCATCCACAATCACGAAAACCAGCCTTTATTCTGGTGCATGTTGAAGAATCTAAGTACAGACTTTCTGTAGCCTTTTCAAATAGACCATATAAAGCTTTCAAAGTTTGGTACATATATGATGCAGACCTACTAAGGAAGAAGTGATTCAAAAGATACATCAAAAAAAATCTGAAGGATTATTGTAAGACCGATGTCCATGACTTAGTACGTCTCTGCGTTTTGTTAAAACGTCCCATCACATTCATGTTGTTACACTGTGGACTTGAAATTTAAGATTTCTAACACTGTCTATATTGTCATTGCAACCATACGGAAATATGGAATAGCAGGTCTAGTTTCCTATATTCCAGTATTCTATTCGTTGTCTATGGAAAGATGGACAGGCAAACAATGAAAAACAACATTGTGAAAATATTGAATAAATTTAGAAAACTTTTAAAAATTTCGTAAACTTTCACATTTTTACCAATTTTTTTTGAAACACTGGACATATATTTAAAAAAAAAATGATATAAATCATCTACTTGTAACGTAGGGGAAAAAATCTGCATTCTTTAAAATTCTTCAGATCTTCCCTATCTACTTTAAATATGAAATTTAGGACACTTAGGACTATGGTTCAGAATCTTGCTCCTTTGTTGGAACTGTGCATTATTCCGTGTGGACGATGAATGACTCATATGTGAATTTTGTGTCATGGTTAGAAAAATTATGTAAACAAATTTCTCTCAATCTCTATCTTTCGCCTTCATTTAGTGGCCTTCTTTATCCCACCGTGTGTAATACAGTCATCCCAATCTGGCCAGAATTCTGCCTTCATCCTCTTACAGTAATTACAGAGATTTTCGAACTCTGAAATTAAAGACAAAAAAGTATAAATTACAAAAAAAATAATAAAGATAATAACGAAAAATAAAATAAAATTATTAAAACTATTTATTTAAAATATACTAATACATGTATATCAAAGTAGCCTTAATATGGAATTTTCTTCCCTTACTTTTGAATTCCTCTTCTACAAATGGACCAAATCCATGCCAATAACCCTGGGATAGAATTCCAAATACAGCACAGTCCGCCTGACAAGCCTTCTCTCCGAGCAAAAACTTTTTCTTTCCTAAATTAAAACGTGTATAATACCAAATAAAGCACCTTATTCAAGCAAATTTGACAATTTTGAAATTATTTATTAACACGTAAATAAAACACAATGATTTAATTTCACATACCTAAGAAAGAAGAGAAGTGCTGAAGGCATTCAATAATGAGTGTCTGGACCTCCTCTTGAGAATGGCGACCTATTCCTTGCGCATGGGTTTGTTCTTTTGCGCGACGTTTCCCAATTATTCTGATTATCCAAGGAACTTTGACATATTTAAAAAATTCTTCTCCTTCGTCGTGCACATAACGTTGTAGAAATAGTGCCCTGGGTTAAAAATGAAAACTTTTTTGAATGATATATTTGTTTGTTTGTTGTTTACCGTCCCTCTCGAGAATTTTTCACTCATATGGAGACGCCATATCTTGCCGGTGGAGAGCTGCAAATTTTGACCTATACTCAGCACTCAGGGCCATTGATCAGTGAAGGATCTTTTTCGTGCCAGCACCTACTGCGATACTGCGACATGGGACCTCGGTTTATACGGTCTCATCTAAAGGACCGGTCTCTACGTCCCACAGTGGGATTCGAACCCGCGACGTAAGGATCTGCGACTCTACAGCAAACGCTCTAACCACTGACCCACGCGGACGACTATTGAATAATATAGATTCTTCCAATGTCACTAACGTATTAGTCACATAAAAATTATCCTCTGGAATATAATTATAGTCAACACATATACCAGAATTATATCCATTAAACACAGTTTTCTTCCGTATCAAAAATTCTAAATGTATACTCTATATTTCTTTGTTACGTTAAAAGAGAATAGTCAAGTATCAATCACATTCACTGTACAAAAATAAATACATTACAATAGGAAAAAATTATTGCACTTTCTCGAATAATCAAAGTGAGTTTCAAAATTTAATATACATGTATATGTATGTATTATTATAGTTCGTCATTTCCACAAACCCCAACACCTCCCCCCTCAATTCCCCACTTTTTGGCACCTTCCAAAGGCTTGGAAAATGGATAAGATGTAAATGTGTTTGAAAAAATACTGAAAACAAGTTGCTGAAATCTTAGATTACTAAAATTAAAAAAAAAATTAAGCAAGGTTAGAACTGAGAGATGATATAGATTCTCGTCTCTACAATTACCAGAAGAAATACTCCTCAGCCACTTTTTGAAAAGAATAAGCTATGGCCTTTTCTTCATCTGTGAGTTCTTTGTCCAGATCTATGTTGAGTGTTTTATTAATGAACTTGATACAAAATTCTGAATCTGCCACCTTCTCTCCATTGTATTCAATCCACGTCAACTTTCCCTTGGAACTTCTGTTGAAAGCACTGTCGAATTCATTCTGGTTTAAATTCAATATTAAACATTTTATTTAACATAAAAATATGTATTTAATGATTCAATTAATTGACAACAGTTTTTATCAAGACTAAATAGACACATTGACGTTTTTGTTTCAGATAAACATAATCATATATCATTAGTCTTGATTCTGACCTTACAAAAAATTAACTTCAACTTATTTTCATACTCAACATCAAACCTGATATGGAATTTTTGCCATCCTCAAATACGTCTCCAGTTTTACAGCAAACGGAGTTAGACTAGGAGCAAATGGACCTCTTGGTATTGTGTGGTGAATTACTGTGTCTTTTGGATAAGTTTTCCTAATAACGCCAAAAAAAAAAAAAATTAATTAATAGTTTCTCAGGCACCGCCGCCTCAGGTCAATCACTGCCGCATTGATCAATTTTATTAGTATATTGAAAAAGGAGATAACTCAATTTTCTATTTCTCAAGTTGAAAAAGAAAATTGAGCTATTCCCCTTTTCATAGTGCTAATAGATAGAACGTTTATATTAATTCTTGTTAATACAGTATTTTTATTTTATGAATTAACTTTGTTTGGAATAATATTATTAAAGTTGAATACATATTATAATTAATGAGAGAACAAAAAAGTAAGAATCAGTTGATATCAGCATTTTGTTGAACGACTGAGAAACTATTAATTAATTTTTATGGCCTAAAAACACACAAAGATACAGTCATAATATGCTGTTGATATGATTTTCACTCCATTCGAGTCCTTTCATATATATTGTTCATGTACATATAAAATATTGATAAAGATTTGTGACTCATGCATGCATAGAGCGCGAAATAAAAAAAAAGATAATACCCGAGGTAAACTTAACTAATGTAAGGCTAATGCAAGGCTATCAGTATGGCATGTCAAACATTGAATATTTAAACTTTTTATCATTTGTATTGAAAAAATTCTTATTTGCATTGTATATTTTTTATTTGTATTTTATACTTTTCATTTGTATTTGATAATTTTCCATTAGAAGTCTATATTTTTCATTTGTGTTGTAAAAATTTTAATTTGTATTATATATTTTCATTTGTATTTTATAATTTTTCATTTATATTTTGCAATTTTTCATTTGTATTCTATATTTTTTATTTGTCTTGTAAAATATTTTATTTGTATTGTTACAGTATGCAATAATTTTTCATTTGTATTGTGTCCGAGGGATTGTTTGTTTCGCTATGAAGAATTTCATTGTCAAATTTTAGCCTGTATCGTGTTAAAAACAATCAAGATGTTTTGGATTCTTAAAGCAAATTGGGCCCCTATTTGCATGTAAGGGGACGACCATTTGACTCTGAGAAGGGGTGGGGATGGCTGGCAGATTTTGGAAATGTTGAAAATAAATAAAGAACTAATCCGTCCTCCATGTGGAAGAGAATAATAATCTGACATTGACTGGTGGCACTTATCCCTTCCTCCCCCACGAAATAGTGTTTTCGGGTTTTCGCAGATTTCTTTTCTTTTTTTCGTCCCTAATTGTGCTTGTAATTTTTCCAGGGAAGAAAATAAATTACCTGTCCCTGGCCATCTTGGAAATAAATATTCTGTTCTGATAGGGGGTGAAAATAAATAATCTGACTGGACAATATATCCCAGTCCCAGAACGTCCCCTAACATGCATGTACGCAAATAGCACAGTTTGTGTTGAGCACCAGGGACATCTCGTTCATTTTCAACACAATGCAGACTAAAACTTGACTAATGTAATTCTTTGTAACGAAACAATAAGCATTCCCTCGGATACAATACAAATGAAAATTTATTGCATACAAATAAAAAATATCATAAAAGACATTTAAAAAATACAATATAAATTTAAAAAATTACAATGCAAATAGAAAATATAGAATAAAAATAAAAACATAAAATCAAATTAAAAAAAAATAAAAGCAAAATTACAATACAAATAGAAAATATGGAATATAAATAAAAAATATACAATACAAATGAAATTTTACTATACAAATGTAAAAATATACAATACTAATGGAGAACAAATAAAATACAAATGGAAAATATAAAAAAAAACTAATGGGAAAATATAGAATACAAATTAAAAAATACAATTAAAAAAATACATTACAATTTGAAAAAATAAAATATTGCAACCTTACGTGCCATTCTATCACCTTGAAATAAAGAGCTGTATTATCGATAAAAATCTGTATAAAAGGATTGAGACACAGAATGCATCATTTATTCCCAAAAGAGAAATTTATTCATAAATTTTTTTGGCCCCCTAACGTTGTCACCTCTGCTCTCCCGTGCTGTCGCCCAAGCAGGTTTGGTCTTATCATGCAGTACAACAACACAAACGTACATGTATATTATTATTATTATGCACATTCACTGATCAACAAATTGCACCCTCCTTATTGTTCTAACTTCTGCATTTACGGATGAAGGTATATATGTATAAAATTTAGAACCTTTCAGTAAATTCAAATTTAGAACATGACATTATTTCAAGTTGCCCATCAACATAATACTAGAAATGCATTTACTTTTCACACTCATTAAGTAGTTAAGGTTAACTATAGGTTGCAAATTAAAAAAAAAAAATAATTACTCATTACAAACAAAGTTATTGAATAATGCAGTAAAAACTTTGACCCCCTTGGCTTTCCATACATTGAACGACGTAGTTTATGTAGTTTATATATAACCTACTTAATTTTCTTCTTGCACCTCCTATACACAGCTATGACAGTAATTCCGATAACAGTAGCCACACATATCTCCTTAAGATGAACAACCACGAACGCCTTCACGTCTTCCATTGCACTGCTTATTTTACTTGACGATCATGTACAATCTTTTTTTACTCTGATAAAAGTTCAAGGTCAGAAAAGTAAATCCGGTTTGATGTGCATGGCTTTAATTTTTTTTTTTTTTTACTGACGGCTAATCAATATAAACTTCCTCGGACGTTGATGTCTAAAAAGCTATAAAACTTTTTCTAAATATATATATATTTTTTTGTATTTCTTCCATGCTTTATTTCATTTAGACTAGGATTTTTTTTATTTTTTCCCAAAATATATTTAGAAGATGTGTCACACTATGGCTAGGACTTTGATTAAGTATAGACAAAAATTACGGCCAGGGGTCTAGGGGCAGCCTAAGGCCGACCCAGCTGGTCAAGGGCAGCGCCCTGGTAGGGCCGGGTTCAGGGTGCGAAGCTCCCCGACGGAAAATGGATTTCACAATTTTGACAACCCTGGGCGATAAATTCTGAGCATATATAAAAGTAAAAATAACAAAGCAGTAAATAACGAATGGTTCGACCAAGATCTAAATTAGAGAAGAAAAGTATTAAGTGAAAAAGTATATATAAATCCTTTCAAGATTTCCCAAAAAATCCACCACAAGCAGTTGCTACGATAAATTCATTAAAGAATATGCTAAATTAAGAAAATACAAAAAAGAGAATTCAGCCAAATCAAACTTGACAGGTTAGACCAACTTTATGAAAATAACGCTAGAGAGTATTTGAAGGTAGTAAATTCTTTTCGAGAACTTAAGGACGAGAAAGATCGACAGACATGAAAAATTCATTGATGATAACACTTGGCTAGATTATTCCAATTCCTTGACGAAAGTACCAGAAAAAATTGAAGATAGTTTTATAAACAATGAAAACAACATCTTGAAAATAAAAAAAAATTATTAACTGCATACTTCTTTCACCGAATTAGATTTTGAAATATCCTCTGTAGAAATTCAAAACGTTATGATATCCTTAAAGTCTGCAAAAAACCCGGAATTAGAAAATTTCACTAACGAAATGTTGAGAGGATCACTTACATACTTAGACACTTTCTTGAATTATTTTACACAATATTTAATACTGGCATATATCCAAATAAATATGTAGAAGGATACACAACATCCATATCTAAATCTGAAAATCCATGGGTCCCACAATATTATAGAGGGATAATAATTACAAATAGCAATTGAAAACTTTTTTACACTATCTTAACTTATAGGCTTTATGCATTTTTGACTGAAAACAATATCATACATGAAAGCAAAATTGGTTTTTCAAAATCATCAAGAACCTTAGACCGTTTATTTGTTTAAAGTGCCTCATTAGATAAATATATCAATTACAAGAGCAAACACTTAAATGTCTGTTTTGTGGACTTCACAAAGCTTTCGATAGAGTTATCCGCGAAAATATAAAGTTAAACCTTCTTCAGTTCAATATCTTCTTGCCCGATCATAACAATGAACACACGGCGGATGTGACAGGTCGACAGGGGATGCATACTCCTTCGTGGCACCTGATCCCACTTCTGATGTTTTAGAGGTCCGTGTTTGTTCTGCTCTAAACTTGTATTGCTTCAATGGACTTTTGAGTTTGATTACTGTTCGTTATCTCCATATTTCACTACAGTATAGTATGTAACATGTATAGCTGTAACATTCGAAATATAAGATCGAAAACAAACTTACAAGCCCTTATTCACCAGAACTTTGCGTACGCAAAGAGGGTGTGTTAAGTTCAAAAATAATTAAAATATTCCTTAATGATCTCTCAACCCTACTTGTACAAGACAACACATGAACTAATAGTATCTCTTTATCGGAAAAGAAAATACAGCTCTTCTATATACAGATGACCCTGCTTTGATATCTGACAACCTAACTGAACTGCAAAACAAATTAAATTTATTGAATGAATTCTGTGATAAGTGGCGTCTAGAAGTAAATTAAAACAAAGCAAAAATAATTATTTTTCAACAAAAGTGGTCGTCTAATTCAAGAATCTTTTTTATTCTTGGAAACACAGAAATCATATAAATATCTAAGAATAGTACTATGTTCATTTGGCTACATAAAGGAAGATAAAGAAATATTATTTAAAAAAAATAACTTAATTTAAAAAAAAAAAATTTAAAAAAGCGTTTAAAACCTCCATCAACCTCCACAAAGATATGAAATCAGCAGATCTATCGATTAAAACTCAGCTACACCTATTTGACCACTTAATCAAACAGTATCCCTTTACAGTTGTGAAGTTTGGGGGCATGGTATATTAATGCAGCCTTGAATAAAATACTGACATATATGATGTATGTATTTAGGCTGAGATGTAGAAAAATTGACAATTTATTCTTGGTGCTGGTAAAAATAGTACAAATATTACTATCCTGTCTGAACTTGGTAGATAACCAATGTATTGTTCAATCATCTTTAGTTTATTTTCCTATTGGCATAGATTAGAAGACATGCCAGAATCTACTTTATTACAGTGTGTATATAATGAATGTAAAAATCATTAAATTCAATCTGACATCAATAACTATTATAACTTGAATTTTTATGTAACAAATTTGACCTCTATTTTACTTTTTTATAAATGATTTTGCAGCAAAAACTTTCAATCTAAAAAGTATCTCTGAGTAATGATGAACCTTAACTTTAAAAATGATAATTTCCTTTGAAACAAATTACTAAAACATTTATAAAATTTAAAGTACTTTATTTGTTTACAAGTCACAAGGACAAATATTTCTAGTTATACTTCGTAATGCATGAACTTTTAATTACAGTATTCAATCACTGCTAGATGCGACCAGTTTTTTTTTCAATTTTTGAAACAATATTTCAATTTTCTTTTATTTAACAAAGTATGTGTGGGAGGGTGGATGTGAATGCGACGAAGAAAATTAAAGCCTTTGAGTGAGTGAAAAGTGTATTTGAATTGAATGCATGAATACCTGTTCCTCAGGTATTCAACCTTTAAATATTGACCAATAGCTACGGCCGCTTTTAATAGCACATTATAAACAATAGCCTGTATTCTTTGAACATATGATAAATTCATTTCAAAACTGGCTCAAAGAGCGCCCTCTTAAGTCTGTCATAGGTAAGGGTAAACTGTTCTTCAAAAACTGATTTAAGAATCAATACACACAAAGAAGGTGACATTAAAAAATCTTATTTATGTCTTCAATTATTATTTGAGTTTTCACATCAATATAAAATGCATAGACAGACAAACATACAAGCAATCGGAGGATATGCGATTTTCTCTTTATCAACACATTCAGTGTAAAAGTTGAAATAGTAAATTTGTGATGAAGACTGTTTAAGTGATCAATGTCCAGATGACAAAAATATTGAGGTATTTCTTTCAAAGTGACGTACTTTTGTATATATAAAATATATCTGGTAATAAACTAAACCATATAACCCCAAAAATGTATAGGTTTCTTCCACTGGCAGGAAAGAATACTGTCTTGTACAAAATTTGGAAAATTTTTTTGGAAAGTGTTTGAGATATCATTTCACAACAAAAGTATTCATGGAATATTATACATTCAAATATACATAGAGAAAGTCTGACAAAGCTAATATGATACAAAATTCATACCGGTGTCTTCCTCTCCCAGGAAATTTATTTGTACAAAATTTGAAAATGTTTTGTAAAAAAGTCTTAGTGATATTGTGTCAAAACGAAATTACTCATGGATATATATTCGTACATACATGTACATGTATATAGAGACAATCAAACGAATATGATCCCTAAATCTACCTGTATCTTCCTTTCATAGGAAAGTATATTTGTACTATTTTTGAAAAAAATGTTTTAGATATCATCTCACAATGAAAGCCGCCAAAATATGGCTAAAATATTGTTGACTCAGCATTAAGCAATAATTAATCAATCACAATGAAAGTATATATGGATATATATATTTGGACATACATGGAGACAGACGGAAAAATCCATATGATCCAAAGCGTATTTTAGGTGTCTTCCTCTCATTTCTTATTTGTACAAAATTCGAAAATGTTTCGTAGAAAAGTCTTTGTGACACTGTGTCACAACGAAAGTACTCATGAATACATACCGGTATTGAAACAACATGTACAGAGAGACAAAGTGATATAACCCCAAAATCTACATGTCCTCCTTTCATAAAAAGTACTTCTGTGCGAGATTTGGATAAGTTTTAATGAAAGTCTTTAAGATATCGTTTCAAAATGTGAGTAATCATGGATATCTATTCTGACATATACATAGAGACAGATGGACAAAGCCAGTATGATCCAAAATGTATACTAGTACTTGGTGTCTTCCTCTCATAGGAATTTTTATTTGTACTATATTTGGAAACTTTTCATAGAAAAGTCTTTGTGACATTGAGTCACAACGAAAATATGAACATAGAGACGGGCAATATGACCCCAAAATTTACAGGTGTCTTTCTCTCATAGGAAAATGTATTTGTACAGAATTTGGAATTTTTTAAAAACGTTTTTAAGTGTAATTCACCATGAAAGTACATTTATTTGTGGATATACATTGGGACATACATAGAGACAGACAGACAAAGTCTATATGATCCAATTTGTATAATAGGTGTCTTCCTCTCAAAGAAAATTTGGAATCATTTCATAGGAAAGTCTTTGTGACATTGTGTCAAAACGAAACTATCAATGGGTATATATTAAATTTTTGACATACATGTACATAGAAACAAAGAGATATGACTCCAAAATGTACATGTGTCTTCTTTTCATAGGAAGGTATATTTGTACAAATGGTAATGCTTTTTAAAGTGTTTTAGATATCATTTCTCAATGAAAGTATTTATGAATATACGTTCGCACATATATAGAGACAGACAGACAAAGCCTATATGATAAAAATTGTATACTAGACCCCAAGACCATAAACTGAGAATAGTTTGATTTTTAATATCTTGAGTTTTCTTTAATGTATTTGCTTAAAAATTTGCAATTTTATATAACATTTTAATTCAAATATATATTATGAAAATTTTGTTT